CTAACAGGTAGCTCCACGTCCAAGCCATGCTCGTTTCCTGTTCCGGGAAACTCTATGCGTTCAGTCGCTAGCGTGTATGTAAGACAGCTAAAGAATTCTTTGTTGTCTTGCGCCGGTGTTCACAACGGTGACCTCGATGACAAATCCAAAAGTAACTTCATTATCCAGTCAGTCAGTCAGTTCCCTCCTATCACTTCACTACTCTACAAAGTCATGCATCGTACAGTGTACCATCCGCTCGGAACATATGCCGCTCCGATCCAGGTCATATTTCACACTCTTCAAATGTCGTTCGTGACCAACATTCGACTACCCACACTCAGGCACGGGGAGTCGAACAGAGGCTCGGCCGATAACACGCCTACGCATATACTGTACTAGTCTGAACTTGATACCATGCATTCACACAAAATCACATGCAACACCTCGAGACAGTCGAGCCGCAACGGAGGTTGTTTGGCGTGTGTATAAACTCAAGTGGAGTCAGCACATCAACGACGATAGTAATTCTAGTAAAGCATGTCGCGCGGAAATTTGAAACTCCAGCTTTGCTAATGGTAGAATTTCAATTTTACGAATCAAATTTCCACTTCATAATCGAACGAAGTAGATTTCAGGAATTTGGTCAAATTTCGAGTTTGCTAAAGGTCTCTAATATAGTTTGTTAACCCCGCTAGGATGGACGATGCAAGGGATTGCAACGAGCACTGACAGAATGGCTTTGCGTGCTTCAATATCGCGAATCCCGCGGCGCTATTCAGGTGCTGCGCCATAATGGTTATTCATCAAATTAATGATGTTTACCACAAACACTACACGAGCGAGTTTGGCCTTCCATAACCAAGTCGGTTGTATGTTCAACCAAGTGGATTCAAGTTGGCCATATCGCTTTCATTATGGCACGCGCAAGTCTGACTTACTTTGGCAAGTACGGTTCAATGAAGGCACGAGAAGCGCTGACGCGTTCGTATACACCTGGCTTGTTGAGCAGACCACAGCCATCGCCCCAGCTGGCCACCCCCAGCAAGCGCACGCCAGCGCTTACTTCGACGGTCAACGGTCCCCCCGAATCGCTATTACACGCGTCTTCTCCTTCCAGCCCTCCAGCAGCCAACATCGTGTCGGTCACTGGCTTATCGAAGGACTTGAGCGCATCCGAGGCCCTGTCGTTGCTCCAGGTCTTGAGGCTGACCTCCTTGAGCACTGGCGATTTGGGGCCATCACTAGTGACAAAGCCCCAGCCGCGTGCCCAAGTGTCCACCCCCGCCGGAACGAAATTAAACAACAGCTTCACAGGTTGGATGCTCGTGATGTTGCGGTCCAAGATTACGATGCCCACGTCAACGCTACGATTGGGGGTGTTTGATTTCCTTGATGACATTGGCCAGTACCCCGTCGTCATAACCGGTTAAATAGTGCGTGCCCACCACCACATAAGGTAGATAATTTCTCAAACAATGCGCCGCGGTCAAAACGACATTGGGGGCGATCAGACTGCCGCCGCACACGGTCTCACCATCGGACGACTTCTTGAGCCCAGCCACATAACGGTGCTTGCCGGCTTTGGCTTCCTTTCCCCCGAGGATTTCGAAACCATGGTGAGGGGTCTCATAGCCGCAAGCGACTTTGGCTGGGACAACTTGGTCTTGAGCCGAGGCAGCGACGGCCACGGTGAAAGCGAGAAGGAGTGCGAACTTCATGGTGGAAATTGGAAAATGAACGGTCTTTCATCTGTAGAGCCAAGTCAATCCAATCGTTAACGTCAGGCTGTGATTGCACTAGCACACCAAGTACCAAGGTTAACAAATGCATGGTTGGGATGCGTACAACATACATATATGTATGTTGTACTCACGCACCTCTTGTCATTTACAGTGGTCGAGAGCATGCACGACCCTTTTTGTATTTGAGGTTCTAAGAAAAAACATATGAAATTCAGTAGGCAATGGTAGTTTTCCTCCATTAATTCGGTTCTACCATTAAAATACCTTGATTCACTTTACTTTTCGAGTAATCGTCGAAAAACCTTTCAAATGTCGCATGCAAAACTCGCATAACATTATAGATTGTAATCTTGAGTTGAAACAGTTACACAATTATTTAAAATGGTCAAATCCGATACAGAACTTAATGTAAAAGAGTGCTTCATTAAAATGAAAACTGTAAGAACAAATTAATATTTTTAATAAAATGGAATGGGTAATCAGACTGTGATCGCACTACCTAGTTACTAGTAGTACCAAGGTTCAACAAATGGATGGTTGGGATGCGTACTACATACATACTGTACATGCATGCACCCACGCAGCTCATGTCCTCTTGTCATTAACAGTAACGTTATAAATATCCAACAGCGTGACCGACATTCTTGCCAGAAAACCCAGCACTTTCAAAGGACGAAGGATCCACAATATAAGGAAGGGACTGGTCTTATAACAGTAAAGTAACTCTTGCAGTACGGTGGGTTGATACTGTACCGGTACTTTGCACACATACGATCGTACTATCCCCATACGCTTGCCTCCTTCATGGTTGTTGGATACAGTCACCCAGTCGCTCCCATGACGGTTTCGCTCCCATAACGGTTTCGCTCCCACAACGGTTTTATGACTTTTCAGCCTATGGATATTTTCAGTATTTTAGTTTATTTTCCATCAACACCAATAACATGATTTTACGTCTACGAACTGGATTAATTCTCCTCGTTAAGAAACACTATTATATTAGCAATTTGGAGTAAAGGAACCCGTCCATAGAAGAGTCCCAAAAAGTGTCACGGAACCATGCCCATACGTACAATACAGACCTTTACAGTTAGCAAAATAGAAGTCCGAACCTTTCTGGTAAGCGAGAAAAAAGTGAACTGTACAGCTGTCATAGATGTTGTTTTTGCAGTACGGATTGAACGACGAATGTAAGGGCTCCGGATGACATCCGGACACGACAACCCTGTTCAGTTCCAATCCTGACCCAAGAGGACACTTGGCAATCGAAGTGTCTTGAATCACTAGCTCTACGACCTCCGTACCATTCATTGGACATGAATTGCATGACTGGCGCGCAGCCGCGCGCCAAGGAAACCAGCTCAGAGATAGCTAGTTCTCTCAGTTAACAAAATATACCTGGTACTTTGTTCTACACCCCTTCCTCTGTGCACCCCACTGTACACCTGTTAGCACTCCAGTTCGTCCATCGACCTTCCCCTCCGCCGCGCAATGTCCTCTGCCCAATTCTCCGAGACCCACCTTTCACGATCCAACACATGTGTTCCG